CCTTTGTAGTGTGTATCAATATGGGTGGTTGTCAAAATTATGATCCCTTTTGGGGTACCCTAAGTATTAGGTGCCGTATTATAATAGGGATCCACAAAGGGACCATAATCTTGACAGCCACCCATATATAAAGAGCAATTAATTATGTAGTATAAAATAAATAAATAAATATATATATATAGTTATGTGTGTTTTTTGTATATGTATATGTGTTATGTCTATGTACATGCACTAGAATCACCAGAATTTACGCTTCTCCTTGCCGAGTGCGGGAAGTAAGTAAAGTGGTGGGGCATGTCCGCTGAAGCCTTGTTTAGGGCAGCTCCTTCTTAGCCCGTAAGCTGCAGAAGCTGTTCATTTTCTTGGGGCGTATCGCAAAAGACTTGAATCCAAAGAGCATATCTTTAAACATCCGCCTCATCCAACGTCTAATGTGCCAGTCGTAACTTTCAATTCTCGAGTGTGCAATCCTCGCAGGATGTGATTGCGGCAGCTCCTGTGACGGAGCCCGCACAAGATGTGCTGTGTTGTGGTGATTTGTGGTGCCTGTATGACCCCGACCCCTCCGATCCTGCTCTGAGCAGGAGACGCTGGCCCTTTCGTGCTTATCCTGGGAGTCATCGCCGCGGTCAACTGATTGGCATTAGACTCGTAGCCCTGGCGATTCCAGCACCTGAGTCGCCCGAAATCCAATCTATGGCGGTTAGCTCGACCATCGGCACCTCCCTCTCACGCGCACCCATGATCTCTGCTTATCTCCGCTGCTATTCCTGCTTCTGGTGATGGATGCCACAATTTGTCAGCACAGTGGAAGACTCGGTTTGCTTTTCGGCCTTTGGTCTGCTTTGCCTGATGCTAAAGGCCTGGCTTTCCCTAGAGCTCTTAGAGCTCTTGAAAGAGAAGGAAGCACGAAACACCTCGTGCAGTTCCTGCACCGCTTCTATTCTAGCTGTTCCTGCCGCCATGACATCCGTGGCGGGCCCAATCAAACCCTTTAACTCTTCCTGGCCGCCTCAACAGCCGATCACTCACGTACCGTGCAACGCACAGCTTGAAGATTAACGGCCACGAAACCATCGGCAAGGTGCCCCGAGGGGTTCGTAGAAGCAGTGAGGGTTGCGAAGCTAGAACTTGCTCTGCTCAACCAAGGTGATTGCTGTTGTATTGATCCTGATTGGCATGTTCGTGTTCTTTTGGGTGATTTTTTACAACGTGCTGCCACCTCAGGGTGCCAGGGCATGTTGACTTCCCAGCGTGTCTTCTGGCAGGCGCCGCTGAAATTCGAACGAGCTTAGGTTTAATGCGATTGCCATGAACCATACCTTCCTGCACTCTGCTGCAGCACAGAGGCCAGTGGATTTTGAGTCAGCTCCCTCTTGCAAGCTTGGCCTAGTTCTCTCAGGATGCACATGCTTAAGTGGACGTGCCATGACATGAAGCCATAGCTGTGTGGGATGCATGAAGGTACCGCGTTCTGCCATATGATGCCGCGCATGATGCAGTGCTGCCTAAGAGCTATGCAGTGGACTGATGCAGCATGACCAGCTTCTTTTGGGCTCTCTTGCGCAATGAGAAAGAGAGTCCCTGCTGTGCTGGACTCGCTTGCAGGACAACCCGTGGACTCTCCAGTCCGTTGCTGCACCCGTTCAGCAGGTTGGCCCCCCTCAGTGCACGAGTTTTGCCTCTTCTGTGTTTCGCGCAAAGAGTGACAGACTTGCAGGGCATGCCAGCAAGCAATGAGAATGCACAAGTAGTGGGCAAACAGAAGGTAGAGCCTGAGTCGTTGGCCTAAGCGGCAAATGCCGAGAGCCTCAGCACACATCTCGCTGAGTGCGAAGCACGAGTTGAGATGAGATCTCATTCACAGAGAAGTGCATGGAGGCTGCATGTTTTTTTTGCTGCATGTACAGTTGGCCAAAGATGCACTTCAACAGCTGCTTTCAAACGAGCCCAAAGCACGGTGTCTGTGTTGTGTATAGTGGGCCGGCACGACTCAATACAAGCAGTCCAGGAAAGGGTGCGGAACGGATGTTGAGTGCTCAACCTGTTTGCGCCACGAGCATGGTGCACAAGTCTCTTTGTGCCAGGCATGCAGGCGCACGACGCTCGCGAGCTCCTGAAGCAACTGGAGAATCCAGATGAGGGATCTTACTCGCAGGAGGCCATGGGTCATGTGTAGCGCATTCTGAGACTGAGATGCAAAACCGGTTCCCGAAGAAGAGGGTGTCTTTTCTTGGGTACCTATGTGCTGAGCGCCCTGGTATTCGGGGTCCCCAAAAAGTGGCCGCGTGTTGGAGAACTGTCCGTTTCTCTGTCTCTGTGCAGGATGAGCAGTCCGACTGGTTTTGCGACTTCGTGCGGAGCCTGAGGCAACACCTTGCAGAATCAGAAAGACATGAACTGGGTCTACTCGCCGCGAGAAGCATCTCAAGATCTGTTCTCCAGAACGTGTATTCAAGACTGACTGTTTGTTGCGGTGAAGGCCAGAGCGCTACTCCCATCAAATGGAGTTTTACGAAGAAAAAAGGCGCCCAATATAGGTCCCCAAATAAGGACTCCCTTATAACAGGACCCTAAAGAAGGTACCCCTAATTTCGGAAACCCCAGATAATGCTAACAATAATGACCTTTAACGGCTCTGGCTGGGTGAAAGGGGATGGTTCGTCTTTTTTCTGGGGAGGGGCAACAACAGCAACAACACAGGTCGATGCAAAAGCACGGATGCAATACACAATGTTCTGTACGTACCTGTGGCACATCTCGTTTCGCACATGTTTATATTTCGGAAAAGGAGAAATCTCAACGCAACAAACAAATATCAGCACCATACCGTTACAGTGGAGGTCCCCGTGCGCACGCAGAGCGCACACCGAAAAAGCCCAAAACCTTCCCCCCCCCCCCAATTACAGCAGCGGATGCCCAACATCCCTTGGCATTTTCGGGGGGTGTGAGGGAGACCAGCCAACACGCCACCAGCGTCAACCACCACCTCGACAAAGGGCACCATGCCTAGATACATACAAGGAGTCCCTGGAATACAGCAATCCTTCTGGGCCGAGGACAGTCAAGGTTAGGTGCTTCGGTGTGGAGACGGTGAGCGATAAGATTTACATGTTTAGAGTTTGGGTTCCTCAAGGATGTAGGGGCAAGGATTTGATTGGGGATGTAGTTACCGTCATTGTTGTCGGTACCCACTGGTAAAAATTAGGATAATCGAAACAAAAGGACCCTTCCAGGTATCCGCGGGACGGGGATATTGGTCTTGGTGCGCCCCCTTTTGGGTAAATGGATTGTGCTTGACTTTGACGTCGTTGCTTTGATTCTGACAGGCTGCTTGTCTCCTCTGCTCGACACTCGGCACTGCCGCAAGCAACACGCCGCCTTGCCACAGGCCTCCTCTTTGATTGCACATGTGCAAATGCCCAGGTGTCACCGAAAGGAGTTCGCTGCTTCCTCAAAGTCCAGAGTTCGCTTGAAAGACTCCTTCGAAAGGGTTGAGGAGATCCCGATATGCATTTCACGATGGGTCGTCGCCGTGCAAGGTCGCGGACACATGGTCGCAGCTTTCCCCGGGTCGCTACTGCAAGAGTGGGGCTCCCAGTTCAAGCCAAACGGATGTTTCGCGTGTGCGGGGTGGCGCTCCAGGTTCTACACGACTGATGGCAGCGGCACGTGTGTGGCCCAGGCGAAGTATTGCTTGAGACAAGGGATCACGTAGGGTCCTCATACCTGGAAGAACCAAACAACGTCTTACCTGAGCCCACTGCGAAACACAGCAAGCTGCGGCCGCAGGATGTTTACCAGGGCCTTGGTTGTGCCACCCTGGCCGACGCGTCCTCCATCGTGGCCAGCGGGTTGACTTGTTATTCATTGTGTGCAATGGCGGGACTTGCGCTGTTTGTTTGTTTGTTTGTTTGTTTGTACATGATCGAGTTCTTGTCGAGAGGGATCCCAACCCTAAACCCTAAACCCTAAACCCTAAACCCCAAACCCCAAACCCCAAGCCCTAAACCCTAAACCCTAAACCCTAAAACCCTAAACCCTAAAACCCTAAACCCTAACGAACAAAGGGACCTGGAAGTCCTCAAAAAGGTTCGCCTCCGTGCTAGGAACTTCTGGGAGCTGACTCGGAGAAGCCCATGGAGCTGGAGGCCGTGGAGGCAGACCGGATTACCCTAAAGGCCCTAAAGGGCCCGGGCCTTAAAGGCCCCTAAAGGCCCCTAAAGGCCCTGAAGGCCCTAAAGGCCCTGAGGTCCGAAGGCCCCCAAAGCCTGAATCTCGGCTCACGTATTTCAGGGGCACTGGCACGTCTGGAGGCAAGCTGCGCCGCCGCCGAGTTCTTCGTGTGGCGCCGTGATGAGGTGAGAGATCGCGTTTCGGAGCCGCAGAGCAACAAGTCTTCCAGGGAGTCTTCAGCAGAATCGATAGTGACATATTTTCATTAATGTTGCTTAAGAGTAACAAACAGACTATGGTGGCTTTTGCATAGAATATGATTATAGTGACGTATCTTTAGTACTATTGCTTAAGGGTAACAAACAGACTATAGTGGTTTTTGCAGAGAAGATGATTGCTTCGGGAGGTGGTGCTGGGATGTGGGCAGCTGGTGGCGCACTCGGTCGAGTCGGGTAAGGCCGGCCCGGTGAGTTGCTCAAGGCTAAGGGTTTAGGGTTTAGGGTTTAGGGTTTAGGGAAGTGGGATGTGGCAAAGCCTTAGTGAAGGGAATGGGAAAGCTCGAATCTTGAAAGGGGCAAGCCCTTTCCATCCCTTTCCCTGACTGAGTGGAGTAGCGACTTGGGAGACCTAAACTCTGCACCCTGAGTATTCCTGAATCCGATTGCTTACGGACCACCGGTGGGAAACTCTGAAGGGATGGGGGACGGAGAGCTCCAAACCCAAAAGGAGATAAGGGGCCTACGACAAGTGATGGCTGTGAAGACGCAGGACTCGAGACCTTAAACCCTAAGCCCTAAATCCTAGAATCCAAAAGCTCCAAGCGGATGTGCGGGCCTTATCACATTGGTACATTCCTTGTTTTTCTGCAGGTGGTCGCAGAGTTGCGCCACTTGTCCTGTGCCTTTGGTGCCGCGGCCCTGGTTGCTCGGGTGCTCGGGTGTAGCTTCCGGTGGCTTGGAGGGCTCCATAAAGCAGTTGTGCCCCGCAGAAAAAGTAACCAAAGACTTGCCGTACGTTGCCTGGCCTTGAAGTCGAGTCGTGCTGGGCAGTCGGCATTTGCGTCTGCCAAGACCTTTGTCGCCAATGCGCCTGCGCTCTTCGCCTACGCCGAGCGGGCTGCAGTCCTCGGGCGCGCCCCGCTGCTGGCCGTGAGGCAGTCGCAGGCAAAGCGCCAGTTGTCAAAGCTCGAGCTCCACGTGTGCGTTTGTAGCAGAGAAACCTATCGTGCCATGTGAGTTTTGATCCAAAGGCGTTCGTCTATGATTTATACAAGGTGGTTTTACGCATGTAGGGCGAGGCAAGTCCACGGAAGATAGAGCGCAGTTCCGCGAAAGGCATTTGTGCAACAGTTTCGTCGTCATATACTTGTGAAGAGCATGCCCATAATTTGTAGGCATATTGATCCATGCATTGTGTGAGTGGTATGTTGCAGCTTTTCAAGCCACGTCTGACAGGAGTACTAGCACCTGCATGCTGAAGGGACCTCTTATCAAATCCACATGAGCATTTTAGCAGCTTCTCGCTTTGCCGGCAGCTGTTATAAGAACGTGTGGTACACTGCATCAGTTCACTTACCGCGAAGATGCGTGATGCCGTCCTGCTGGGCACCATGTATACAGCACAAGTCCAGCCTCGTGGAAGCTGCGTGCTCTTATTGCTAAGCTGGGAACACTACACCCCAAAATTGCAAAAAGCCATACCCTGCTCAAGTGACAGGGACCGTGTGATCTGACAGTGCCGAGCGCTGAAGGAATGAAACCCAAACATCGTAATCCCACGACTCAACTTCCGTCGGGTAAGATACAGCAGGTCAACCAGCCCCATCAGCTCTTTGTTTCGAGTCCACATGAGCATTTTAGCAGCTGCTCGTCTCTCCGGCAGCTGTTATAAGAACGTGTGGTACACTGCATCAGTTCACTTGCTGCGAAGATGCGTGATGCCGTCCTCCTGGGCACCATGTATACAGCACAAGTCCAGCCTCGTGGAACCTGCGTGCTCTTACTCTACAACCTGGAGACAGAATCAGGACTCTCAAGTGACAGGGACCGTGTGATCTGACAGTGCCGAACGCCGAAGGAATGAAACACAAACATCGTAATCCCACGACTCAACTTCCGTCGGGTAAGATACAGCAGGTCAACCAGCCCCATCAGCTCTTTTGTTTCGAGTCCACATGAGCATTTTAGCAGCTGCTCGTCTCTCCGGCAGCTGTTATAAGAACGTGTGGTGCACTGCATCAGTTCACTTGCTGCGAAGATGCGTGATGCCGTCCTCCTGGGCACCATGTATACAGCACAAGTCCAGCCTCGTGGAACCTGCGTGCTCTTACTCTACAACCTGGAGACAGAATCAGGACTCTCAAGTGACAGGGACCGTGTGATCTGACAGTGCCGAACGCCGAAGGAATGAAACACAAACATCGTAATCCCACGACTCAACTTCCGTCGGGTAAGATACAGCAGGTCAACCAGCCCCATCAGCTCTTTTGTTTCGAGTCCACATGAGCATTTTAGCAGCTGCTCGTCTCTCCGGCAGCTGTTATAAGAACGTGTGGTGCACTGCATCAGTTCACTTGCTGCGAAGATGCGTGATGCCGTCCTCCTGGGCACCATGTATACAGCACAAGTCCAGCCTCGTGGAACCTGCGTGCTCTTACTCTACAACCTGGAGACAGAATCAGGACTCTCAAGTGACAGGGACCGTGTGATCTGACAGTGCCGAACGCCGAAGGAATGAAACACAAACATCGTAATCCCACGACTCAACTTCCGTCGGGTAAGATACAGCAGGTCAACCAGCCCCATCAGCTCTTTTGTTTCGAGTCCACATGAGCATTTTAGCAGCTGCTCGTCTCTCCGGCAGCTGTTATAAGAACGTGTGGTACACTGCACCAGTTCACTTGCTGCGAAGATGCGTGTTGCCGTCCTACAGGGCACCATGTATACAGCACAAGTCCATCCTCGTGGAACCTCCTTGTGCTCTCGCTTGCGCACGCTTGGGCGACTTGCTTTTTGGGGTAGGCGGGCTGGGCAATGTGCTCTCAGATGGTTTTGTGGGCCCATGGGCCCTTCTTTGTTGATGGAGCGGTGACCTAACGACTTGTCGAAGGCTTCGAAAGGGTTACAGGAGCGCGCTCAATTCCCAGGTGGCTCAATGAACGTTGTGTGCGCTGCACCTGCTGTGAAGATGCGGGTGGCACGGTGCGATGTGTGCAACATTCGCAGTTTTCAATGTTGGACTCAGGGTGTTCCAGAACGTGTGGGAATTCTGGCAGCGTGAATGCAGTGCAGCGCGAAGGACCCCGAACGAAACGCCTGGTTTGTCAGCCGCGGCTTCAAGGTGCCGTCTGAGTCAAAGATAGCCTCGGCCACAGGAGTGCTGAATGCGAGACTTCCCTTTTGCTTGAAGTGGTGATGTCAAGCTAATTGGTTCAAGTTAGTGGCTTCTTGCCAAGGCCCTGCTGCCCCCGTCGCTGCGCGATCCGGGCGTTCTTGTGAAACGACTTGGAGAAACATCCGAGAAGGAGGCTTGCAATTTTCTTCATAGTCCGCTGCTAAAACTGCCACCCACAAGCTCGCGAGCGCTTGGAGGCGGAGGAAGCCATTGCTGCCTACGCTGAGGAGCTCCTAGGGGTCCTTAGGGGGATGAATAGGGTTTTGGGGATTGTTGTGGTATAATGCTAAAGAGACTGTAAGACTGTAAGAGAAAACTATCAGTAGTTGTCAGCACACATGTCACCTGATAGAGAGTCTCTGTTTTGCGCCGCCAGAGTCAGAGATGAGAATGTTGCGAGCATGGCGTGAGATGCAGAAGCTTCAGAAGCTTGTGTTCTCTGGAGCCAGGAGCAGCGTATGTGGGGTGGCATGGTTTAAGCGCGTGGCGGGGAGAAACACATCTCGTCCCTGCCCTGCTGCAAGCTCACCTTAGGTCGGGACGGAGGTTTGGCAAGTATTCATGATGACCCGAAACCCTAACCCCAAAGACCAAAAAGCACCAAAACCCGCTACTTCCAGTCCCCTTCTCGCGTGAGAGCCTTGTGGACTCCCTGCTTTGCTCAAGCCCCGAGCGGCTTCTGTCCATACATGCTTTGCCATATTCCGCTCCGCGGCTGCACTTCACACACACAAGCACTTGAATGCATCGACCCGTCTGGTAGGTGAAGCATGTCCAACCATGCCCTGATGAATGTAAGGCGAGTTCAGATTTTCTTCGTTTTGACTGGGTGTGACTTTCTTCAACTTCATTTTGCTGTCTTCGTGACATCATGCGAGCTGCTGCTTGGATGGGGTGTACAGCGTTGCCAAAGATGGTCAGTCTTAAGCTCAGGACATGGTGTGCGCATCGAAGATGCCATCTCCTTCACGTTGCTTGTCCACGCTTTTGCTGGCACTGCTGGGGCCCGCAGTGGCCTCGCCTCAGGACGAGCAGTGGCCAAACTTCCCTAAACCCAGCACCATGCATCCGAGCAGTTCTGTCGCAGGATAAGCCCCCAGCAGCGGCCCAATCTGTGGAGAAGCAGAAGCCTCGATCAATCTCTCACGGCTTGACGGCACCGCCCTCAAGGGTTTTTAAGGGTCTTAAGGCGTCTTCTAGGGTTGAGCCATGTTGAGGCAGATGATGTCAGATGCCACCCAGCGTTTCCAAGCTCAGGCGGTCGGATTGCCGATGCCTTGGGGCGCAGCTGCGCCGACGTCGAGCGTAGTGCAGGGGCAGCTGGCTGGGTCCTCGGAATTCTGCTCGGATCTTCTTTGCTCTTGAGACCCGAGTGCCCAAAAGCACCAAAAAAGGCCCCGGCAATACACGCTACCGGCCAAGCCACCAGCAGCCTGTGGGCCTGCATCGTGGCAGGCGTGGGTTTCTCCATGCTTGGGCTGCTGCAAAATTCCTCCTCCTTCTATTCCCCCCCCTCCTCTCCCCTTCGTATCCTAAGCTTTCGGCAGGCGCTGGAGCCGTGGGGCATAACATCCGCCAGCAGAATCGCGAGCCGCGTCGACCACGACACGGTCGTCGGGGCCCTTCCAGGCAGAGGGTTCATGCCGACATTTTGCAGGTCGTGCTGGGTAGGGAAGAGGTGGCCCAATTAAGTTGTCACAGTGTGCCGGAAGGTTGAGCAAGAGGTTGACAGCCGAACGTGCTGGAAGATTGCGTAATCCGGTCAAGCAGCAAAGCAGGTGGTGGGCTGATGCCCGTCGACATCTGTAAAGTCACAGCAACAGGCACCGCCCCACACCATCCCAGAAAGCTGCAGAACCTCGTTGGGCACCATGCCGAGCGACAACGCTCGGACAGCAACATGAAAGAACTTGCCGCAAGCCGGGACTGGGAGGGCCAAAGCCCCTAAACCTTAAACCCGAAACCCGAAACCCTAAACCCTGAACCCTAAACCCTAAACCTCTCTTTCATATATAATTTAAATGTTAAGGAGTTACTGGGCAAGGTCATTTTTTTTTACTGGGCAAGGTCATTTTTTTACTGGGCAAGGTCATTTTTTTACTGGGCAAGGTCATTTTTTTACTGGGCAAGGTCGTTTCGTCCAAAAAAACGACCTTGCCCGGTAAAAAAATAACCTTGCCCAGCAAAAAAATGACCTTGCCCAGTAAAAATGTTACTGGGCAAGGTCATCTTTTTACTGGACAAGGTCATCTTTTTACTGGGCAAGGTCATCTTTTTACTGGGCAAGGTCGTTCGGTCTAAAAAACGAGGGTTACTGGGCAAGGTCCTTTTCTTACTGGGCAAGGTCATTTTTTACTGGGCAAGGTCGTTCGGTCTAAAAAACGAGGGTTACTGGGCAAGGTCCTTTTCTTACTGGGCAAGGTCATTTTTTTTACTGGGCAAGGTCATTTTTTTTACTGGGCAAGGTCATTTTTTACTGGGCAAGGTCATTTTTTTTACTGGGCAAGGTCATCTTTTTTTACTGGGCAAGGTCATCTTTTACTGGGCAAGGTCATTTTTTTTTGCTGGGCAGGGTCGCTCTATAAGTGAAATATTTTCTTAATGTTGCGGGATTCTTTGGGCTTGGGCGGGTGGGTATTTTCCTGGAGTAATTGCTTGACTAGTGAATGCTTGGACTTGAGATGCTGAACCCTAAACCCTAAACCCTAAACCCTAAACCCTAAACCCTAAACCCTAAACCCTAAACCCTAAAGCCCGGCAGGCAAACGACGGCAGCTAGTGCCACGAGCACCACCGTCGTCGAAGTCGAGCAGCAGGTCGAGCTCCTCGGCCTGCCTGGATGCAGACTGGTGGAGCTCTGTAGGGTTTAGGGTTTAGGGTTTAGGGTTTAGGGTTTAGGGTTTAGGGTCAGGGCTCTCGGGGCTTAGGGTTCACAGGGTTTCTAGAGATGGGTTGAGTAGAGGAGGGGAGCAGAAGCGTAGCAAAAGCTGCTGATGAAGAATCATGACACGAAATGCCCCGCTGAATAACAGGAAGGAGCCTTAGATAATCCTAGAGAAGCCCTAAAGAATCCTAGAAAGGTCTGAAGCAGAAGTCGCCGGCTGGCAGACCGCCAGCGAAGATGAGGACGATCGGTCCCAGCAAATAGGAGACTTGGCGATGTGAGATTTCGTGAGCTTGCAACCTTCTCATGTTTTACGTAGCAATCCGAGAGGGAGAATATGAACAGTGCAGCTGATGAGCTCAGGACAACAGCACCGAATGCAGTTTCTCCAGCAGGTGATGCGACACGAAATGCAGCAGCAACAGGGTCAGCCATTTGCGGACCAGCAGGGAATGGCCTTCTTCAACCAGCAGCAGCAGCAACAGCAGCCCTTTCGGCAGCAGAACTTCCAACAGCCGCAGCTGCAGCCATTTTATGATGGGCGACCGTTCAACCAGCAGCAGGTCGTTTACTGGCCAAATCAGATGCCGCCTGGAGCTTAGTGTGACCTCTCTCCAGCGGTGTACTGTTTGAACTTGGGAAATATAGGGTCGAGTACGCCCCTGCAACACCAGCTCCTCACAGTGCTGCCTGTCGCGTCGATTTGTTTTTTGCTGCCCGGCAAGTTTGAGCCTCTGTGATTTATCAGAGGCAACATGCGGTGAATCCGCAGTTCAACCAGCAGATGCAGATGCAGATGCAGCAAGCGATGTCACAACAGCCGCAGCGGATGGCTCAGAATACTGTTCGGGGCGCTCTGCATATGTTTTTAAATTTCTCAGCGGGGTGGGAGGGGGGATGGTAGGGGGGGGCGGGGGGGGCTGTGAGCGACATCTTGTGGCACGCCGTTCCACGTGCCCCAAAAATGCGTTGGCCTGAGGCTGCAAGCTTTTGCCCCCATGCCTCAGATGCAACAAATGGTGCTGGTTGCAGTGCCAGTTGTGTGACTGGGCTGATACTTTTATACCGACACTGTTTGTCTCGAGACTATAATTTTGTGTCACCCGCATTGTGCAACGGTGGTCCGGTGTGCCTCAAGGCCTGAAAACTCGCCGGTGTCGCAAGGCTGCTCAACCTGCAGAAAAGCAGTGGACAGCAGTGACAGCACTGGTGGCTCATCCGAGACATGAGAGCATAGAGCATATGGTGGCGCAGGTGACGAAGCCCCTGCACACCAACCAGCAACTTGGCCTTCATCAGATTTTTGCGGCAGCGCCCGACACCGCTCAAAGTAAGAGAGGCTTGCATGAGCGAGTTCTCTGCAGGGTTGTCCACTGAGGATATGGAGCACTTGCGCAATTTCAGCATGGGCCACCGTGCACCCTCCGTGTACCTCAGCAGCGAGTCGAAGCCGAGGCATGAGGGGAGTCCCTGCAGCTGTTTGCATCTGCTCAGGTCCTCCACGCCCTCCGAGATTTCCATGGAGATGGGATCCTCAGTGTCCACGCAGACTCCTAGCAATCGAGAGCGAGCCACGTCCAGGCACCCCCTGGGCACCACATGGCATCCAAAGAGCACCCATTAATATGGGTTTCCGAACATAGGGGTTGCCTTTTTGGGGCTCCCTTTTTCAGGGGATGCTGTTCTATTTGGGGTACAAAAGGGGTACCCCTATTTTCGGAAACCCCCGTATGGCTTCCAAAGAGCTGCAAGCCGCTGCTGATGTCGCCAGGTGGAACGGCAAAGAATCTGAGGCCGTCGTCCGTCAGCTGCGCGCGCCCGGATTAGATGCGGCCTCGCGCAAGAGGCGCTAGACATGCAAGACTTCACTGTTGAGGGCGTGGGATTGGCTCTAGAGACCCTCTGCAACCGACAGGCTTCTGGAGCGAATTGTGCAAGATGCGTGGCGCGGTTGCATTCTTTGGAGGAAAGCCGCTTCCAGCCCCTGCGGCCCTAGGTATCTGCAATCTCCTCCGAGTCAACATGACTAAGAGCTTGCCGAGGTGGAGTATGGCCATCACGAAGCATGGCACCCGAGTGGTGCAGGCGGCCTTTGAGGTAGCGGCAGAGATTTCTGAGAAGCAGAATCTGCTGGACGTCTTGAGGGGCAAGGTGTGGCCACTTGCCTGTTAAAGCTTGTTACAGCTCGTTGAACTCCACCCTTTCGGTGCTTGTTCTTGGTGTGTGCAGAACGTTGAACATGGAGCGAACCGACGGGCATGAATTGGCATTCGCCGGCTCGGCGCTTGAGATCTGCCACGTCTTCGGCCGAAGGGCCCTTCTCATTGATTTTCTTTTCCAATCCGAACTTCCGCTCCAGGAGAAAGTTTAGGATTTGTGGCGCGAACTATTCCTTGCGGTGCCGGGCCAGAGCCCGACAAGTCGCGCACAGCCCGAGCTTCGGCTTCTGCCAGACTACCACTGTACACTATCATGCCACCGCCGGTGACTACTACCATTGTTCGTTTGACCGTAGCTACAACGGGGAAGATGTGGAAGTATGAACGAAGCAGGAGCCAAGAAAAAGCAAAAACAAACTGTGTCGCAATGGCCTGGTCAGTTCTTGGGCATCAGTTCAAGCTATTACCCAACAACTTGCAGGTGCCACTGACTTCGATCCCCCCCCACCTATCCCGGGCATGTCCGTCCATGCGGCAGACTTCTTGCTCAGGCAAGCCCTGAAATCGCCGCATGCGAACCATGTGCTTCAGAAGGCCACCTCCAAGCTTGCCCTCTGTGTGTCAACTTTGTGATTGGCAGTTGCAAGAGGCAATCGCGCACATGCCCCCGCAGAAGCTGGACTTCATCATCTCCGAGTTGAGGGGTCCCATGCAGAGAACATTAGTTGGGTCATGCCGTCTGGGGGTGGGCTGGCCAAGCGCTCTGCGCCAGTCCCAAAACTCGTTTTGTCATCGCAAGTTCCAGGAAGGGGCTAAAACCCTTTCTGTTCACTCCCCCATCTTGGGGTCCTTATCATAAGGGTGTCCTACTATTGGGGGGTATATGAGGGGTCCCCTATTTCATTCTATTTAGGTTTTGATTCCGGCGCGGAGCGGTGGCGCGAGAGTGTCAGGTCGCGTGGGCGATGCCGCCCGTCATCCTTTTGGCTGCCGTGCAGGGGCCTTAGGGTTTAGGGTTTAGGGTTCAGGGTTTAGGGTTTAGGGGCTTAGGGGTTTAAGGGTTTAGGGTTTAGGGGTGCAGCGAAGGGCGCGGACCAACAACGGGGCCTCTGAAGAGCAAAATCGACCGTCTTCATCCGCAAAGCCATCTAAGGCCCACAGCCACAGAACCCTCCTTAAACTCTAAAGCAGTAAGCCCCCAAACCGTAAACCCCAAACCCTCAGCCCCAAACCCTAAACCCCAAACCCTAAGCCCCAAGCCCTATACGGGGGGCAACCAAAGGGAGACAGGAAACCAAACAGTCAACCCCAGAAGAAGCCCTTAAGCTCCCTGGACCAACCACAAACCAAACCCAAAAGACCAAGCACCCTTTTCTCACTAAGTGCATTGTCATCTTGAGCCAAAAAGGTACCGGGTTCATTGACCCTTTTCCTTTCAACACCAACTCTTTCCTGAATACAAATTGCAGCTCCGCACTCCCCCTGTCCTAGGTTTTTCTAGGACACAAACTGGAGGTGCAGACCTTTGACCGAAAAATTGTCGCTTTGACAACGGTCATCTTCACGTTTAACGTCCGATGGACGGGCCACAGCCACTAATTTGCACACCATGGTTTTACGTCTTTCCAGGACGAACCTTCAGCTCATTGGCCGAATCCCTTACCAATTGAGGATTTCTTCACCTCACACTTGAAAAAATCTACGTTCCAGCGGCCCGTTCCTCACCAAGGAACTCAGCATTCACCACCCAACCTTTCTTGACGCAATGCTTACAAAGCGTCTTGGCCCTGGGCTGTGAATATCGCAGAACATCACAGTCACTGCTTGCGTGCATACAGTTCCCACCCACCGTTGTATACAAAGTGGCACTCGCGGGAATAACCACCACTTTCCTGCCCCACAGCCATTTGTACAGCCTCCGAAAGAGATACCTGGCCAACTCCCAGAGTGTGATTGTTGCCACCAAATACACAGCGATGTCCGCATTGTTGATAACCGCTTCAATACCTTGAGCCAAAACCATAACCGTAGATGTGTTGGCGACCCTGCACACCCCTTCTTCTGAGCAAAAGAATCCAGCAATTGACGCTTCTTCTCCACCAGTTGCCATCCCTTGCAGAGATGCAGCCACCATCATGACCGCCATTGCAAGAGAGGCCCTTTTCAAGTCAGTTCCTTGCACCAACATTTGGAGACCCCAAAGCGCCTTTTGCTTCGCATAAACCTGTCCACTCATCAATTTTGTTAACAGGTCAGCAATCATATACTCACCACGAAGATGCGCTATCACCATGTAACCACGGTCCACCAGAGACCTGACACCGGCTGCTCGAATTCTCAGGTGCCTTGTCCTCCAGCTTCCAGCAGGATATTGAATGATTGAGCAGGTCGAAACCGAATCTGTATACAGCACTTTTTGCAGCGATTCTTCACCAGTTCCAACCAAAGCGGCAATTATAGGGGTACACGACTGAATCATCGTTGCTCCCTCTATAGACGCATGCAACTCAGCTTCAGCAGTACTCAAAGCCACCGTTGATTGTCTCTGCGTTGCCCACATCACTGGACAATCACCCCAAACCACCACCGCTCCTGAGTGGCTCTTTTCGTTTTCACCTGCTGCAAAGCTAGCATCTGCGTAGGACTCTACCACCTTGACGCCTCGCCCATAACGCAACACCTCATTCCTTTCTTTTTCGCATGTTGCGATTGCTCCGAACGTCAAGCCTAACGTTGGAGTTGCAGCAAGGTATCGAAATACCTCCTCAGCCTTTTTAACCACAAATCGCGGCCTTCGGGATGTCCACAAAGACAACTGGCTTGTGCAGAAAGCCAAATCAGGTCGAGTTTTGATTGCCACCCAGAGGAACTCCCCTACGGCACCTTGAGCCGCTCGCAAGGAAGGAATATCCACCTCCTCTTCTTCACCTGGAGTTTCTTTCACCATTGGCAGGTTACTACCTTTTCCAGTTTCATCAATCTGATACCCTCTTCGGTTCAGCAAATCTCTCACGAAGTCCTCCTGGTTGAGAAAGAAGCTGCCATTTCGATACCAGATTTGGACACCCAAAAACTTCAGGAATCCATCACCACAGCCTGGACCACAGAACTCAGGTTCAGAAGTTTTCCACTCCTTCCTGATCTGTTCCAAGGCTTCCCGGAGCACTGTCATAGTCCCAGCCATCAAAAAATCATCCACGTAAAGACCCATTGTCCCTACCAACTTGCTTGCACCTTCTGGCTTCTCTTGTGCCATAATAAGGAACAGACTTGGGTCTGCGTTGGACCTCTGAAAGCTCATTGCTAGTCCATCCTTTGACACCCAAGACATGCCTTGAAGACGCTGATCTCGCCACTCCACCCATGCTGCAGGACTTTCGGCCAAACCGTACAAGGCCTTCCTCACAATCCACCGCTCCTCCTTTGCACAAAGACCCAATTTCACCGCCGCCCTTGGGCTGCACCACCACCAGACGCCCTTCTCTTTGCGCCCTATTCATCGGCGCCGTCAGAAAAGCTTTGGAAATGTCTAAACCAGCGATGATCCACACCATATATGCTGCGTGCCTCACTTGACACCTGAATGTAGTTGAATCTAAACCAGGAGCGTACAGCGAGTGACGACTGAGGGACCTCGGCCCTTCGTATTCTGTAGCTGCCGTTGACGAAATAAAATTGCCACATGCACAGATACGGGCACGCCGCCTCCCTGTCCCTTGCTTCCGGGTAAACACCACCAGACTGGGCACGTACTCAATCACCGGTGCATTAGGCTCTTCCGCCAATTTGTCCAGCTTTTCTTGAGTTGTTGGTTCCACCACCTCCAACTCTTTAACCAAAGACGTCACCTCGTCCGACAATGATTCCCTCCACTTTTCCAGCTCTTGCATGGCTTCTTGTGTAGGAATTGTTCTTGTTTGCAGGAACTCAACCTCCTCTGCTGCCTCAAGCGCGGTATTTTCTTGTACCATTTGCTGAACTTGAGCTGCTTTGACCAAAAACTTCGAGAGCTGTTCCTCGGTTCTTTTTGCTTTAACCAGCCACTCTCTAGTCTCTGATCCTTTTTCTCCGTTCGACTCATTGGCCGATCCATGAAACTCGTCCAAAACGCAACATTCCTGTTCAGCAATTAGGCGTCGAATACTCAAATGCTCCTCTAGCGCCCATTGGTGCGCCTCAAAAACAGCATAGTCGACTTCCTCCGCAATGTCGTCCAGCGAGGTCTCTTTCAACGTCATTTTTAACCATTTCCTTTTTTCACCCTCTTCAGCTCGTGGTTCTGGAAGAGGAAACTTACATCGGAGAAGATAGCACCTATCCTTGTACCTCAAACGCTCCATAAAAACAGGTGTGTACCCGGTCAAGGATACCCTGTTCCCTTTCCAAGGCATAGGACCATGCAATTTTCTCGGAAAGAACGACATGAAGTTCCAGTGGATATCAACCAATTTTCCGGGCAAGACTTTCTTCCCATAAGATTGCTCCACCACTTCAGCTCCTTCCTCTAAAGCCTTTTCATCCTCCACCCACAGCTGACCATCCTTATAGTCACCAAAGCCACACACATAATTGCAGCAATGCTTTTCATTGTGACTATCCCTATGCAATGATACCGGAGCATTGCATGAGATCTGAAGAGCAGAAAATTTGGCTTCAGGATTGTGGTGCCTCACGAATGATGCCAGGTAACGACATAGCCATGGCCTTCGATGAGTCTCTTTTGTAATACCACACACTCCGCCATGAGTATAGTGGCCCAACACCAGAGCTCGCGTACTTGTGCACCAATTGTTGATACCACCTCTTCGATTCACCCTCTTTGGGTATACAATCCCTTCCAAAAGCTCCTCGCAGTCCACGTAATCGTACATAGACCTTTCACACATCGATTTGGCTTTTTGTTCTTCCTTTTCCAACTGTGTTCCATCCTCGGCAGTCTCACTTTTGCAGACCAAATAAGCATTTTCATGAGGAGAACAGCATGTCGGCCAATACTCATCACCAGGAACATTGTCCTCAACATCTGCATTATCTTCCGGCTCCCCCAGACCCTGCATGTCATCCTCGAAAATTTCTAAGGGCGGACTCTCCCCCCGCTTGCGAAGCAAGCGCAAGGAGCCCACATGAGCACGCAGTGAAGAGGCCGGGCTTTTTTCAATCAACCGATGGCGAACTGGAGGATCGCGAGGCGGAGGTAAAGGAGGACCTTCCTCATCAGCAAACCGAAGCGCCGGTTTTTTCCCCTTCTGGAGGAGAAGGCTCCTGTTCTTCTACCACCCCTTCCAGCTCCAATTCAGGCGGTTCCTTTATATTGGAAAAAATCGTAGTCCAGGGAAATAGCACCAGTTCTTCCGGATCTTTTGCAGTCCCTTGAGCTTCCGCCCAATAACCACCCGGTAGGTCATCACATGGACCCAAAAGAAGCGCGGGCTGTGTACGATCGACCCATTGCCGACCTTTCTTTGTTCCATCCGGACCCAGCAACTCCCACGGACGACGTTTGACTTGAATCTGAGCACCAAAGGGAAGCAATGCTTTCGGGTTTAACCCCAACTCCCAGCTTTATGCCACCGTAACATTGACCAATGGCGAGCAGCCAGTGCCCAGTACGCCGGCCCGAGTCGCGCCTCCTTTAAGAGCGACCTCACACCGCGTTTGAATAAACCCACACATGCTTCAGCGCGCCCATTTGTTTGCGGGACTCCAGGATCACCAGTGGTCCTATATATCAGACGAGTTTCACAAAAGGACCGGAAGCGTGCATTGACAAACTCCCCCGCTCGATCTGAATGGATTCTCAACACCGGATACCCATGTCTTTGCAAGCGCACCATCATTCTTTGAACAGCCGATAAAACAGTTGTCTGCTGTTTGTCCACAATCGGCTCCACCATAACGAAGTTGATCATACGGACAGGCTGGGTCAAGTGGTCCTTCAGTTCCTTCCAGGATTTTTCAGAAGCTTGGATTTTCAACACCTCTGCCTCCAGAACT